GATTCCGCTAAACAGCGATTTCAGTGGAACGGATTAACATCGTCTAGCAAGCAAGCCCTGCTCTCCGTCCACCACCAGGAGGGGAAGAGAAACGGGGAAGCCAAAAGAGTCCCAGGCCAGGCGGAAAGTTTGCCAAAGTTCAGCAGCGTCCAGACCGCAGCTTGGAAAAAAAATATTTCCTGGCTTGGACTACAACATCCAGAATCCCTCACCTGGAGGAAAGCCCTGCTCCAGGTGCCACCGCGCACAAACAGCAAGCTGGTCCTCTCAGGAAGCCTTTCGCGGCGGCACAGAAAAGATCTGGGGAGACTCCGCTTGCACAGAACAGACCCGCGTGAAAGGCACTGATTTCCCCCCCAAGCGCACCCCTACCCCGAGCGGTGGCCGTCGCCGCGTCGCCGGCTCCTGAGCTGGGGAGCTTGGGCTTTCCCGGCGCTTCCGCGCGCATCCTTCGAGCGCCCGGAGCGCAGAGGGGGATCTCTAATCGACCTTCCCCGCCAGGAAGCAAGAGACGACTATCTAACTAACCCATCCTCCCCCTCGGTGCCGCCCTTCCCTTCCCTCCCTCCTTACTCCGGATTCTTCCCAGGCAGGGTTCAAATCCGGAGCCCACTCCTCTTCTCCCTTCTCACCCAGAAGTTGTCCTTGAAGAGGGTCTCCCGCATGGCGACGGTCGCTCTAGGAGGAGCACCCCCCCACCTCCCCACCCCCGGGTGCCCGGGCGCGCAGCAAAAGACCGCGGAGGCGCCGCCGACCCTTCCCTCCCTCCTTACTCCGGATTCTTCCCAGGCAGGGTTCAAATCCGGAGCCCACTCCTCTTCTCCCTTCTCACCCAGAAGTTGTCCTTGAAGAGGGTCTCCCGCATGGCGACGGTCGCTCTAGGAGGAGCACCCCCCCACCTCCCCACCCCCGGGTGCCCGGGCGCGCAGCAAAAGACCGCGGAGGCGCCGCCGATCCGCTTCGCTTCGCTTGGCTCTGCGGCGCCGCTCCGGTTCCTCAATTCTGCCCCGGCGGTCCTCCTGGGTCCTAAAGCCCGCCGCGCCGAGCCGGAGCCAACCCCGGGACGCCAAAGCGGTGTTTTGTGTGTGTGTGTGCAACTAACAACCCGTTTGCAGTGAGGTGCTTCATGTCTGCAGAAGAAACTCTTGGGAAGCATGGATTTGGAGGCGGCAGCTCCTGGAAGCCGCCCCCCGCCCCCGGACAGGGGAGGGTGGGACTTGTAGTCCCAAAGTGACGGACCGACGGAGAGACTCGCCCTTTTCCAAAAACGGCTCCAGCCCTTTTATGTCGGCCAAGGCATTGATTTTAAAGTCTTTGTTTTAAAACAGAATCAGGACAGAATGTAGAGGGAAACCGCCAGCCATAAAATTCCTAAGCATGAGGGGCACCCTAGAGTAAGGGACTGAATAGAAGAAGCCTAGGTTTTTTTAAGCCATTACACCAAAGGTGACACGTTTGGTGTTGTGCACTGGCGTTTTCTTCACTACTGCCAAGCCCATCTGCCACCACAAGGCTCCCAGGTGAAAACCACCTGTAGCTCATGTGCTCACACCTTTCCCCTTTTGGGGTTGACTGCCTTTTCAACCTGACGCCTCTCTTCTCCCTTCCCCCCCATCTCTGCCCAGCCCTGGTGTCTGTTTTCTGTCTTCCAGAAGCATTTTTACAACAGGACTGTAAAAAAACCAAAAAAAACATAGACCTAATTACAGCACGTAACCCATAAACAGATAAAATGGGACACTGGTAGAGTATTTCTCCTGCATTTCATTCCATGTTTGCGTGTTTCAAGTTGTCTCTTAGCGTCTGACGAAGTGGATGTATCCCAGAATCATAGAAATTGGAAGGGGCCCCTGTAAGGCCATCCAGTCCAACCCCCTGCTCGAGGCAGGAATACCAATCGCAGGATTATCGGCCAGGTGGGTTGTCTAAGTTTCCCTTGAATGCCTCCAGGGTCAATGAACGCTTACATTAAAATGGAATGGTTAGTATTTAAAGTGCCATTCATTGTTTTGGTATTGTTTTGTTTCTTTGGATTTTGCTGGATACCCTTTTCCCAGGTTCTGCGGCCTCTACCGCAGGGGTGCAAGGAAGGACTCAGCCCAGAGAGCAGAGCTGTAAACAGCGAGGGGCATCATCCTCTCCGATCCACTCTGCCCTGTGACGTGGGCAGGAGACACCCCACCCCCAGCAAGGAAGCAGGAGGGCCAGAATGCAGTCAACTCCCCCCACCAAAAAAAGAAAGGGAAAGTTTATACAACTTGCAAGGAAGGTTTGGGGCGAGGCCAGGATGTGTGGCTGTTTTCTGTCGAGTGTGTCCGCCCACCCACCCAAATTTCAGCATCCTTAAATTTTGGTGCCCTGGGGCAACGCTCCACTTGCTCCACCCCAGTTACAGCCCCGAATGAGGGATGTTTAATAAATAAAAACAAGTAGGGAATTCTACCCCCGCACACACATTGGCAAAGACCCCCCCCATCGGCTGCTACTTTGCTTGTAACACAGAATCACCTGAGAGCTTTTTTGAGAACCCCACCATGACTCTTAAAAGTCTAAAACAGAAAATAAAATAAAAAGAGCAATTCTGGACGCCTAAGGAGTGCCAGGTTTTGTTTAGGCTTTTTTCTTTTCTTTCTTTTCTTTCTTTTCTTTTTTTTTCTTTTTTGCATAGGTCTCAGACACTCCCAAATTCGAAACCAAAACTGGAACAGGACTCCTATCCATTTCCTTGTTTGTTTTATTTCAACTGCTAGCCATTTCCAAGCCCAGTTTGGTGGCTGGGATGGGGGTGGCTAAGGGGCCAAATTTGCCCCCCCCCAGAGTTGTTCATACTTGTTCTAGCAATTAAAAAAGCAACAGGCAATTGGCTTCCAGAAAGAAAGTGGAAATAAAACTATTTAATTGTCACCCTTGTTGATGGATTTTTACTTCCAGCACTTTCTGCTGCAGCTCAGGGTTTTTTTTTTGTTTTTTTTTTTTTAAAAAAAAACAGGAACTTCCCCTACTTCCAGCACTTTCTGCTGCAGCTCAGGTTTTTGGATTAAAAAAACAAAACAGGAACTTCCCGTTGGAAACAGAAAAATCTTTGTGAGTCAGCATGCTTAGGCCCATTTGGTGGGGCAGCAATTTTGTACCTCATTCATTTGGGAGCAAGCCCATGGGGCTGCATTGAATTTACTTTGAAATACAGTAACCAGGTACAGAAGCAGGTTTGAAACTATATGTCCTTGGGAAAATATTTCCTGCAAGTCTGTGTGGCAAGGAGCAAAAAGTGGTTAGGATTAGCATAAAGGATTGTGGTCTCTCTCTCTCTCTCACTCTCTCTCTCTCTCTCTCTCTCTCGTGTGAAAGTTGCATGGCAGAAAGCTAACAGAAGATATTCTTCTGTGCTCAAAAGTCTATAAGACGTTTGCCTGCTTGCACAGCTGCAATTTTGCCTGACCCAAAAACGGTGGCAATTCTATACATTTCAGTACGTGTGTGGATGCCATCAATCAGAGCCTCGCTGACATCAGAAAAGACTCCCAATTTTCAAGTTGTTTGCATGTTTTTTCAAGAGCTCCCTCTAATCTAATGCATAAATTAATTTCCCCCTCACAGCAAGGAAATGTTGGAGGAAAGGCTGCTGGCTCCTGAATGAAAAGATATTTCTGGCAAGAAGGATTAAAAAAGCAAATAATGGACTGTTCTTGTTATTTACGTTCCTGACCCACTTCCCAGGAGGAAGTATCACTCGGATCAGATTAAATAATAAAACAATAAAAGCAAGCAAATAGGAAACAGATTCAACCATTAAAAGGATCAGAATCTCTTTGGTCTTTAAAGAAGATCATGAATATCATCACAGTAAATGTTAAAACCGTTTTAACGTTGAAAAACATCGATGGTCACACTGTTCCTAAAAGAAACATAAACAGCTTTAAGTTGCAACTAAACAAAGGGAAATACGTATATCCTGGAAAGAAAGGAGGAGCATTCAAGTTTCTGTTCTGTGTCCCAATCAAATGGGCCTCCACAGGTAATGATATTCTTTTAGATAGCCTGCCCACAAGTAAATATGTTGCCAAGTTTCGCAACATATTTACTTCTAAGGCTCACATCCTGCGCCCCGCACGAAAGCCAAACTTTCTGCTTTTCCAAAGCGGCGTCTCGTCTTCAGATAATGTCCTCCCTACCTGGAGAAGCGTCACTGTTTCCTGATAGCTCTGGGCCATCACCCTGAGACCAGATAACTGTACAGTATTGAATGGGGCCATGCATTGCTTTCTGGGTCCAGTTGAAGGTGAGTTCTTGAGATCGTAAATGCCAGTTAATGAGAGAAAAGGGGTGGACTACTCGGAGGAACTTGCAGCTAATTCTGCTCCATGAGTCCTTGAGTTTTTGCTGCTCGGCCAGAGGAATTTAAGCAAAATGTCGAAGTTCTGCAACAGAAAAAGCCAGGCTGGAGCTTGGACTATACCTCTTTTTTTGAACATGTAACTTGTTCCAAAGCAACATTCCTCATATGGGAAGCCTGACGGTGCCCATTTCCCCTCCTCATGACAACATTCTCATGACAACATGCTTTCCTCTACCCCGTGAGTCCGGGATCAACCCTGAGTGCTCACTGGAAGGAGAGATCCTGAAGAGAAGCTCCAATGCTTTGGCCATCTCATGAGAAGAGAAGACTCCCTGGAAAAGACCCTGATGTTGGGAAAGTGTGCAGGCAAGAGGAGAAGGGGACGACAGAGGATGAGATGGTTGGACAGTGTCATCGAAGCGACCAACGTGAATTTGACCCAACTCTGGGAGGCAGTGGAAGACAGGAGGGCCTAGCGTGCTCTGGTCCATGGGGTCACGAAGAGTCGGACACGACTTACTGACTAAACAACAACCGGTCCAGGAAGCTCAGATTATTAAGCATCCATCTCCTCCGTTGCCCTGAGAAATTCCCAGCAGGTGTTCCCTCATGTCAGTTAGTGACCGCCAACACTCAATGGTGATTTGTTGGGATGAACTCTGCATGCTACGGGATGGGAAAGGATGAGCCGTTCCACAGCAGCATCCATAGAAGCCAAGCTCGAAGGAAGCCGAGACATTGGCAAGGTTTTAAACAGCCCTTTTGAGAGATTTTAGTTTTCAGAATTCTCCAGTGAATGTGGCCATGGCCGGGGTGCCTGGAGAATTCTGGGAATTGTAGTGCTGTGTTTTGTTTGTGGAAATGGAAACTCCCCTCCCAACCCATCTCAGAGTAAACGGTCTCCTTCTCTACTTTGGATAAGCTGGCCCTAGCCAGCCCGGTGTATTTGGAACGAAGCAACAAGCAACGGGGAAGCCTCTTGATCATGCTTTTTCTTCTGCAGCTTCCTTGAGAAAAAAAAGGGGGGGAGGAAGGAAGTGACAAGCTAATCTAATGTCTTGCTTTGTCACAACTAACTCTTGGTGTGGCTTGAAAACACAAACGGACACACACACACACCCAAAAGGGAATTTCCTTTTTAAAATGCCAGCTGTCACTGGTCCGTGGCATTCTGCATCTGCTCAGGGGGGGGGGAATGACTTCATGAAAGGGGATGGGGGCTCAGCCCCACTGACTGCAAGGGATCTGGAATAACGCACAGCCTCCCTTCTTCTCCACGACATCACACTCTTTAGCAAGAACAGAGATTCCGCCTGCTCTCTTCCTCCTCCCTGGGCTGTGACAGGCTTACTAAAAATATAGTGGAACAATGAGGAAGGTCAACTGGAACAGTTTCCTGGGTTTGTTTCCATGTCAGAAGAAGAAGAAATAGGAGAAGTCTCTAATTTTCTCTCCCTCTCCGGCTTCTGAGAAAAGGTCAATGAACTGGAGAAGAAGGAACTAAAAGGGGGCTTGGCAGCTAGAAGCCCTTGAGAGTAATCTACCCTCTCCCAGGAAAGCTTGGTGCCTCCCCAGGAGCACCCCACCAAAAGTCAAGCAAAGGGATGGATTCTGCCTCTGTAGCAAACGAATGGATCAGCCGATTACGGGAAAGGAAGGACGTTTGGGAATTGACCCATACGGAATTGCTCCCAGAGCTTGCAAAAGTTACTTTCTTGGACTAGCATTCCCACAATGCCCCAGCAGACGTGACCAGCCAGCACTGGTTCTTCAGGAAGGACTGCTATGGACTTCCAGTGGTGGGTTGAACCCTCTGCCTTGGGAGATTCTGGTGTGTTTTGAGGAGATGATCTGGAATGGGGGCTCCATAACTGGAGCCAGAGGTACTGGTCCCCCTGCAACCCCTGTTCCTTTTCCAGCTCAGAATCCTCAAACATTAACCCTTTTTGGACTACGACTCCCAGAACCCACCCTCTAGCAGTCCAAATACAGTATATATATAAACATTTCCTGGTTGTGCTTCCTCTCCAGTACGACTCCCAGAACCCACCCTCTAGCAGTACAAATATATATATAAAAATTTCCTGGTTGTGCTTCCTCTCCATATTTCTTACCTCCCTGGCCAGAGTTGTTTCCTTGAGCACTCTTTTCTCCACAGCAGTAAAAGTATTCCATATTAACGCCATCTGTTTTTCTGAGGTCCTGTTACAAAAATAAACCTCTTCTTTTGCCTTCTTGTGTACCAAAGGGTGAGGGTGTGCTGTGTCAATGGTGGAAGCAGATATAAGGACCAAACTGGAGTGAACTTGGGTGTCCCAGAAGGATTTGAAGTGGAAGGGAAGCAGTACTGCAAGGAAGCACCGGAGCAAGACTGGAGGTGGGGAAAAGACTATCGTGAAGTATCAGGAAGTATCCTCTAGATATGGTAGATGTACTTTTCCCTAGTAGGTACGGTATCTGCTGTGTCAATGGTGGAAGCAGATATAAGGACCAAACTGGAGTGAACTTGGGTGTCCCAGAAGGATTTGAAGTGGAAGGGAAGCAGTACTGCAAGGAAGCACCGGAGCAAGACTGGAGGTGGGGAAAAGACTATCGTGAAGTATCAGGAAGTATCCTCTAGATATGGTAGATGTACTTTTCCCTAGTAGGTACGGTATCTCCTGAAATGAAGTATCAGGAAGTATCCTCTAGATATGGCAGATGTACTTTTCCCTAGTAGGTATGTCCTGAAATCCACAGATCTGCACAATACAGGATGTCAAAGAACCACCAGAAACCTACAAGGAACGTGTGCAACAATCTGCAAAAATAATGTCAAAGTAACGGCATCCTGGCCAGTGGCTTTCGGTCCATCCACTCGGACCACACTCCGTGTCACCAGTGGCTGGACAGTAACACCGCTTTCTGAAGGTCCGTGTCACCAGTGGCTGGACAGTAACACTGCTTTCTGAAGATCCCTGGTCACTCCTTCAGCGACCGGACAACCAGTGCCCATTAACAAGTACTTTCCACGATCACCTTCTACAGAATGGAGATGGCATCCGGTGATGTTGAAGGGCTGTGAGACTCCTCCTGCATGTATGCAGGATAGTGGCCATTATTGCTACCTAAACCAGACAAGGGAAACGTGCAGTCCTCCAGATGCTCGTTGGATTACAGCTGCCATGTTCCACCACCATAGGCTATGGTGGGAGTTGTGGTTCATCCGCATTAAGAGGACCACAACACTGTGCTAACGTTCTAAATGCGCAAGCATGTTTAGGGGGTTCTTTACCTTGAAGTGGCATTGGAAAGCTTTGTGACAGGGCCTTTGGGCCAGCAGGTGGCCCACAGTCCATGGATCAGCATAGTATGTAAATCTGATTTACGATGGTTGCGTCTCAAACTTCAGCTGGCCAGCTCTGGCTTCTGCTGGTGCTGCATCACTGTGGACTTCAGGCCAGAGCAGGTTCTTCCAGGTGGTTATGCAAAGGGCCCTCTTCTCTTCCTCTCCTGAATGAAGGCTTGTTGAAAGGCAGCCAAGAAAAGTCTGGTTACGTAAGCCACAGCCCAGGCAAAGACGAAACGGTCACGTTCCCTGACGTGTCATGGAAAAGCAGAGTGCCACGGCTGGGAAGGAAACATTGAGAGCTGGAAATCGAAACGTGTATTTTGGTTTCCTTGTAGAGTGAATGAACTCCGGGAGATTTCCATCTGATTCCTCTGGTCTTGTAGCTCGTGATGCATCACTCGCCTGCAAGGTTCTTCAGACCGCCAGTCTTTAGAATGTCATTTCATGCGGATACAAAAAGACACCCCAAAAATGGCGTGGCTGTCTCATCTCGACAGATCCTTCTTGATTCTGCCTTGCCACAGGAGGGAGAAGGGGCTGAGCGACCAGGATACACTTTTTCCCAGCTCCATCTGGACACAGATAGCTTGACTCCAGAAATTCCTGTCCTGGTTAAGTCCCCATATTCCAGACCCCATGGCCATTTCCTACTCCTGGGATCCTCGGGGATCACATCGACTCCAGCAGCTCCCCAAATTAGGTCCACAGTCCATTACCAGTTTCAAGATGGGGGAAAAGATGTATTAAATGTTGTTTGGTCGCCTGTGAATCACATGTGTTTTGTTCAGGTGGCCAGGGGCCACAAAAACTACCTTGGGGTAGCCATGTGCAGCTGGAAAGTTACACTCCACCCAGTCCTGGGACACACACACACACAGGGTGCTACGTATGTCAGGCAACCAGAGACGAAAGGTGTTAAGAAATGCATTAATCACGCGCGATATATTTCTGTTCCCCTGCTTCAGGCACTGCCCTCTTCTGGCCCACTGATGCCAGGGTTCTCCCTGAAACATTATGCACATCACAGGATGCTTTGGAAGTCACACAACACTGATGTTCACTTCAAACACAGAATTTAGCATCTTGCATACAATCCTGTGAAGTAATTATCTTCTATATGAACCGTTAATTGAACAACATTTCGTGTAACCTTCACTTCCCATGCCAGCAGTTGAACTACACACCACTATTCACGCTAGACAGACACGCTTGACTCCACTTTGTGAAGAAAAAGCTTTCTTCGCCGCCTGATAGGGGATGGGCACAAATAAGTTTTTTAAAAAATGAATTGGGAAGTTCGTAAAAAAAAATCAGTTTTGTTGGTTCGTCCAAACCAACAAATCAAAACGAATGGAATCAACCGTCTTTGGTAGTATTCAATAGATTTCCATGGGGTTCATTTCTTCCCACCCCTACCAGGCTGCCCCCTTTGCACAGACCCCCCTCCCCGGCCCTGCTTCCTCCTCCATGGTTGTTCTGGTGCCACACAGTGCTGGATCGCCAGCTTGCAGCCAGAACTATGATGGAGGCAGCAGCGCAGAACCAGAGAGGGAAGCGACAGGGGTGGTGGGAAGGGGGGGGTCAGACAGGGGCAGGCTTGTGAGGCTGCAAAGTTTATCCATCCCTACCACAGTGTACAAACAACAATGGAGGATGCAGCAGCAGGACCAGGGAGGGTGTCGACTGGGGGGCTTCGTTTCTCTTCCATCCAGGCATGAACTTAAAACAAATGGGCTTATGGGTTCTTTTTCTTTTTGAAGTTTGAAAAGATGGTGGTTCATACCCATCTCTACTCCTGGTCCAGGACATGTTTCTGATCTGAATTGGGGCTTAGGATGGCTGATTTTGCCTTGCCAACTCTTTCCCCTCCTTCCTGCTTGCACACTAGAAGTATGTGAACCATCTGAAAGCATGTCAGATATTCTTGCACAGACTAACATGGCTGGTTCCTTGAAAATTACGAAGACTGTTAAGAGTTTAAATTTAAGGGGAAATTTCAGAGGAATTCCTCAGACGGTGCAAGAGAGAAATTCCACATATACACCCCTCCTCCCACCTGCCCTTCCTTAAAATCTAGGCTGTTGTGGAGAGTTAATACCTGGAAAAATCACTCTTCCTTCATATCAAGGACTCTTTCTTCATTATAAGAACACTGCACAATTTTAAGTGATGGATGTATATGACAATCTGTGATGGCAATCTGTGCTGTCCCAGGTGTTCAAATGCCTATTTTTCCCCCCTCAGTATGGTACGAAGGCTTTTAGGGTACTGGTTTGTAAAGCAAAGTGGCAAAAACCCACACAAAGAAGCAAAATGTTTTAGGGTGACTTAGAGGCAACCCGTCTCTGCACAAGCCACTCACACTGTACTTCAGGATAAACAAGCTGGAGGTGTAGAATTAGAAAGCAAATAGCTCCCAGTCCTCTGTCCTGGATTGTTGAAACATTACCAGAAAAGAAGGCACACTGAAGCCGCCTGGGTCTGAAGACTTTATTCATCATGTCGTTATACACACATCGATATTGTTGGTCAATTGGGCTCCATCACAGTGAGGACTACATCCACAAGACTTCTTTACCTGACATGGCTTATTCTCACTGTGAGAGCTGCACATCTTTCAAGTCTCTGGAAAAAACAAACCAGAGTACTACCAGCTGTCAGCGATAAAAAAAAATACTCTGGTATATGGAACTGTTACAGAGTTTATCCTCCAAACGTGGACAGGAATTCTGTGACTATTTCTTTCAGCTTGGCTTCTGTTTGTTCAGAGATCTTCCCCTCAGTCCTGTCAAGGCAAAACCAACATGAATTTCATCCTCTACTTGCAGCAACCCGTAAAACACCCAGCCCCTCAACTCCACTCTTTTCGCTGCCTCTTCTTCCCTCGTGTCAAAACTGGCACAAACTAATTGAATTTAATAATGGCATTTATAATCTTCACTGCAAAACCATATGCTTAACAAAGGCAACCTTTTGTAAAACTTCTCCAGCAAAACTAAGGATTTTTTTTCTTCTTTAAAGAAAAGCCATCTCTGCCCTGCAACTACTTAAAAACTACACCAGGTTGTGCCAGCTGCCACACACCGGAGACCCACTCTTGTTTTTTGGGAAGAAGGCTATTTTGGGCCTTAAGAAAGTCCAGGACCCTGAAAGAGGACAGAGTCTTCCCAGAGGCTTCAAGGTTCTCCATTCTAGATTGGGTCACAATCATTCAGAAATGCAACAGCCAAATGTGAGGCTGAACTTGGTTAAGATAGTCTCAGCTTCTTCCAAGCTGCTGTGAAGCAAATACATTTTTACCTGATTGTGGAGAGGAGGGCCTGGTGCTGGCTCAGAACGTGAGCAAGGAAAGTACTCTCAAATTTGGTGATCTTGCTGGGCTCCAACTTGTCCAGGTGGCCTCTGACCCCAGCATAGATGACGGCTACTTGCTCCTCAATAGCCATAGGAACTATGCAGGGAAGAAACAAGTCTGTGTCAGATCAGTCAGCCTTCAGTTTCCTAGTCTGCCACAAGTGTCAAGAAACCTATTGTTACCCAAGTCCTATCCTGAAGACACTGACTGTATATGAGAGGGCATAAAAGGGGAACAAGCTAGAAGAAGGGGCAAGAAGATAAATCAGATGCAAGTCTGACTGCCATATAAAGCAGGAAATGCTAGCTGCCTAGAAAATGGGATGTTGGGAACAACTTCATGGCACTGACATAGCTTCTTTGAGCCCAAAACAATGGGCCAGTGTGGAGATGGATACATGATGCATCGGCCACTGGAAAGTTGATCGCCCGTGAGCCTGCAATGTTCATTATACAGAGATATATGGTACCTAGAGTTATGTCACCCCTCTGAAAAGAATAGAGAACCCTTTCCACAGGTTTTGGCCACACTATGTTATTGATTAATGAAGAATCATCCTGTGTTTAGCAACTGGGGAAGGTAAAGTAACAACACAGAAAGCAGGGAACTTTAGTATTGTCAATGAAACAAAAAAGCCACTGCACCCTGAGAGAAGAGGCTTTTCTCCCCTCAACCTTTTCCTTAAACTCTTGATTCCTGAATCTTTGTTTCTTTCCAAGGAAAGAAGACTTTCCATCTCCCTAAACCAACCTTCTCCTGGACCTAGCTATCTGAATCTATGGGACCAAGCTCTTCACACCTCTATGCTGGATTAAGTAGAGATAGTACTTTAATTACTGTTCTAATCATATTTTTATTTGCCAACTTTGCTGCCAAATAGTTGGGAACTTTTAGGTCTGCTTCTAAGAATCAAGGTTGGAGGGAGTTTTAGGTGGTGCTAGAGAATACTCGAAGTGGTTACTAATTTCACAGGCCCTTATTGTGTGTATGCCACAGATTTCTTTTAAAGAGTTTACTTAGTTTGTTTCAAGATTATGTTATCCAAATGGCTGTAGCAGAATCACAGTCTCTGCTTTGTGTGTGAAAATGCTTGTATGCAACAACTGGTTTGATTTTTGTGAATGTTATCATTCTCTTCACAAAATGTTGCTTTTCTGATCTGTACTTGAAAATGTTTCATCCTTACTGAACTAACCAAGTTCATTTCTCTTTGTTCCCTCTGCTAAACTTAAATAAATCTTCCCATTAATTATATCTGCTCTCCTACCCCATGTGATCAAAAGGACCCCATTTCCACTTATATCTATGTTAATTACAGTTAGAGCAGCGAAAACAAGAACGCTTTAGAACACAAGAGGATAAAGTTGTAATTTAACATAACTCTGCTCAGAAATCTCTGGGAGAGTAAGAGACTACCAGTATTTTAAAAATAGAAAAACCACATTTTCCTCACCACCATTACTACAGTATGTGCAGGCGGCGTACATACACTATGCTTTTATGGCCATTCTTACTGAAGATATCCGCTTAGTGTATAAACCATCCAAGGCTATTCCATGGACAGTTTGAACTCTTTCTCTGAGAGGAGCTCAATCCCTTTGGTTATCAATGGTAAGAAAGTTGCTTTGGCTTCAGGTGTATAATAAAAGGCAAGAAGAAGTCCTACATCCATGTAGGGAGGCCTAAGAAGCAATTTCTGAAGGGTGCTTTGGTGGCTTATACTAGCGAACTGATACACTGATTTTTGTTACCAAACAATGTTGAAGTCACTCCAGGGGAAGAATACAGTGGTGCCTCGCTTAACAACATTAATTCGTTCCAGCGAAATCGCTGTAGAGCGAAAATGTTGTAAAGTGAAAATAAAAAACCCACTGAAACGCATTAAAACCTGGTTAATGCGTTCCAATGGGCTAAAAACTCACTGTCCAGCGAGCATACTCCATACAGCGGCCATTTTCGGTGCCTGTATAGCGAGGAATCCGTCCCTAAGCACAGTGGGGATTCATTTTGAGCACCCAGCGGCCATTTTGAAAACCCAGCGATCAGCTGTTTTGATCGTCATAATGCAAAAAATCGGTTCCTGAAGCGGGGAACCAATCTTCACAAAGCAAAAAAAAAACAATTTAAAACATCGTTTTGCGATCGCAAAAACATCGCTGTACAGCAGATTCGTCGTAATGCAGGGCAATCGTTAAGCGGGGCACGACTGTACTTACAAAATCATTACTTTTTGTTACCAAACAATGTTGAAGTCACTGCATGGGAAGAATACTTACAAAAGCAAATCATTACTAAACGTCTTGTTTGCAAAGGCACAAGCTGTTTGGAACCAGCTAGAAGCAAGAATGGCTGGAGGCAATGCTTCCTAAACTCTAGCTCCCAAAGTTCAGAAGGAAAGAAACAGACTGACTAGGTTCCCCTAGGGAATGTTGCAAAGGGAGTCACATTCTGAATGGCTAGTAATACATACTATGACAAAGATACTTACCATACTGCCCTTGTTTAAGCAGCTCAGTCAAACGCACACCACGATTCAGCAGCTGCTGAGTCGCAGCATCAAGATCTGACCCAAACTGGGCAAAAGCAGCCACTTCACGGTACTGAGCCAATTCCAGCTTCATGGTGCCAGCCACCTACAGAATGTGGAAGATAGGCTTACTGGCCTCTAAGCAAGTCACTCCATGTATTATTACATGCTGCTACTTTGAGTGCAGGTCACTACCTCCTGGATTATTAGGGCCACTTTTTCACATAACACTTGTTGCCAAGGGTGACAGTTGCAGACAAGCAAGAATGACTGGAGGCAATGCTTCCTAAATTCTAGCTCCCAAAGTTCAGAAGGAAAGAAACAGACTGACTAGGTTCCCCTAGGGAATGTTGCAAAGGGAGTCACATTCTGAATGGCTAGTAATACATACTATGACAAAGATACTTACCATACTGCCCTTGTTTAAGCAGCTCAGTCAAACGCACACCACGATTCAGCAGCTGCTGAGTCGCAGCATCAAGATCTGACCCAAACTGGGCAAAAGCAGCCACTTCACGGTACTGAGCCAATTCCAGCTTCATGGTGCCAGCCACCTACAGAATGTGGAAGATAGGCTTACTGGCCTCTAAGCAAGTCACTCCATGTATTACATGCTGCTACTTTGAGTGCAGGTTACTACCTCCTGGATTATTAGGGCCATTTTTTCACATAACACTTGTTGCCAAGGGTGACAGTTGCAGACTACACTGTCAAAGGTTGTTGTCGGAGTTATTAGCTTTCAAAATAAAAGTCTCACTTTGTCCAGAATGGGCAGCCTTATGGCCAGGATGCTCAAGCCTGAGTGCTACCGTGTGCAGCCAGAGATAAAACAGCACCTCAACTGGCCAAGAACATGCACATCAGGTAGTACCTGTAATACATACTCATTTCAGTAATTTGTTTCAGCACCAAAGTGATATTCCATTGTTCCACTCCTTACTGCCTGGCTGCCTACTCACCCATCTACCCATTTCCCAGCAACCTCATTTGGTAGCAATATGACTTGTTTTGGTTTTGTCAAGGTACAACAAATAATCCCTACATCTATCCCCTCCAGTTTTGCAAGTTATAAAAAGCAAGAAAGCTTTGAAGCCTGTCAGAAATTAACAAAACTGTATGATACATAAATGCTTTTACACTTTTAACTACCTAATTTATCTGAAGAACCAAGTTGCCTGAAATACATGGGGGTAGCAAAAGCAACAGCAGAATTCAAGGAATGATGACAATTGAACCTAATTTAAGCAAATGCTAGGTGTGTGGAAAATCCTGATGAACTGTCATTTTCCATTTACCTGCTTCATGGCTCTTGTCTGGGCAGCAGAACCGACACGAGACACAGACAACCCGACATTGATGGCCGGGCGGATACCCTTGTAGAACAATTCCGTTTCCAAGAAAATCTACAAGGAAAAGATCGGAATGTTAAACATCTGTCTAACGTCTCTTTAGTTCCGTTATGCTCAATATCCTTTCTAGATTATACGAAAGCAATTCTTGCAGAGGTTCTCACTGATGTTCTCTAGAATAAAAAGCAAGAAAGCTTTGAAGCCTGTCAGAAATTAACAAAACTGTATGATACATAAATGCTTTTACACTTTTAACTACCTAATTTATCTGAAGAACCAAGTTGCCTGAAATACATGGGGGTAGCAAAAGCAACAGCAGAATTCAAGGAATGATGACAATTGAACCTAATTTAAGCAAATGCTAGGTGTGTGGAAAATCCTGATGAACTGTCATTTTCCATTTACCTGCTTCATGGCTCTTGTCTGGGCAGCAGAACCGACACGAGACACAGACAACCCGACATTGATGGCCGGGCGGATACCCTTGTAGAACAATTCCGTTTCCAAGAAAATCTACAAGGAAAAGATCGGAATGTTAAACATCTGTCTAACGTCTCTTTAGTTCCGTTATGCTCAATATCCTTTCTAGATTATACGAAAGCAATTCTTGCAGAGGTTCTCACTGATGTTCTCTTACCTGCCCATCAGTAATAGAGATGACATTAGTTGGAATATAGGCTGACACATCCCCAGCTTGAGTCTCAATGACAGGAAGGGCAGTCAGAGAGCCACCTCCAAAAGCATCATTCATTTTGGCTGCTCTTTCCAAAAGACGGGAGTGTAGGTAGAACACATCCCCTGGGTAGGCTTCTCTGCCAGGGGGGCGACGTAGCAGGAGAGACATCTGGCGGTAGGCGACAGCCTGTTACAGACAAAAGAGCCAGAGTATTACAATCTAGCCACTCATTCTTATGCATGTCCCCAAAATCGGTATTTGCATCCACCAAATTAAGATGCCAACAGTATGGTCAAACCTGCTTGGATAAGTCATCATAAATAATTAAGGCGTGTTTGCCATTGTCTCTGAAGTACTCTCCCATGGAACAGCCGGAATATGGAGCCAAATACTGAAGAGGGGCAGCATCTGAGGCTGTAGCAGAGACCACAATGGTGTACTTCATGGCATCTGGAAGGAAGAAACGTAGCATGTTGGCTTCGATTGCTTTTTTGTTCAGTGGAAATAGGACATATTCTAACTAACCGCATCACTATTACACTACTCCCCAACCCTCTTTTCTACCCCTCTGAACTTCTCAAAATACTAAAGCAAATGACTTTTTGGTGACCAACAGGTAGTTCTCAAAAGTGTACAATTTACTTCATAGTTGCTTGGCCATCTTGTCTCTTAACACTTGATTCTCCCCATGTTTACAATGAAATTTCATTCAGAGGCACAACAGTACCAATACACTGCTTACTAGACATGATATTTCTGGACTACAGATCCCATAATTCTGACTGTTCCATCTGACAGACTCACACCCACAGATTCCTAAATGGGTCTCACCTTGATCAAAGGCCTGCCTGCCTGCCAAGGTTTCAAGGCTTAGCCTGGCCTTAGCTTCCTATGCAGAACGGAAGCTTTCAGGTAAAAGTGCGGCAGCTCTCTTCCTACAGAAACTTAGGGTGCAAGCCAGCCCTATGCTAAGTCACAAAGCCTTTTCAACTAAGCCTTTTCTCCACATGAGCCTCATTTAGGTATCTGCACTTGTGGGTCTGCCAGATGCAATTCCTAGAATGGAGAATTATGGGTTCTATAATCCAAAATCCCCATGCCTACTGCCTACATTAGCTATGCTCAGGGTTCTACTCTGATCTAGAAAGCAACACATTTGTAATCACTGGAAAATAATGAATGCTTTCCCTAGGGTCACATCTGCTTCCACACCCTGCCTGCCTAAAATATTTTTCTTTAAAAAAAGATATTTTATATTGACAAAAGTCTACTTTTCCTACAAAAAGCATGCATTTTTCCAAACTAACTTACATTTTTGGGTATGTGTGTAGTAAACTGGCTCACACAGCCCCTAGAGTGCATAAAGGGCTGCTGCAGCAACAATTTGGGGGCATGTGTAGAGTACTGAGCCCCACAGGGCTACTGGAGGCCATATGTGGGCGCTTGAGGATTTAAATGCAGCCTACAGATTGCCCTTTGCCCACCCCTGCTGTGGTTAAGGGACGTGGGGGCACGGCGGGTTAAACTGCAGACGCCTCTGGGCTGCAAGGTCAGAAGACCAGCCGTCGTAATATCAAATCCACGAGATGGAGTGAGCTCCTGTCACTTGTCCCAACTCCTGCTAACCTAGCCATTCGAAAGCATATTTTAAAAAAATGTGAGTCGATAAATAGGTACCCCTCAGTGGGAAGGTCACAGCATTCCGTGTCTAGTCACGCTGGCCAAGTGACCACGGAACGGGCTTCGGACAAACATTGGCTCTATGGCTTGGAGACAGGGATAAGCACCGTGTCCTAGAGTTGGACATGACTGGACTAAATGTCAAGGGGAACCTTTACCTACAGGCTGCCCTTTGCCCACCCATGCTGTGGTCCCACACACTGAAAGCTGTGAAGATCTGGAAATTGGGCAAATTTTTTTAAAGTTTCTAATTTTCAGAAGACAAACTCATGAACATGAGATCTTAAGACTTAGTATGAAAGCAATGAAGGGGAAATGGGATTGGGGTGGTAGCATTTGAAATGACACAACAATTTGTGCCTGGACCCACCCAGCATAGCATAACAATAGCCATGTTTCCTAACGTACGTTTGTCAGTTATGAGATTCTCAGAAGTAACTAAAGAAACCAGAATTACCATTAAGCAATAGATTTTTTTAACTAGCCTTTCAGGGAAAGAGTGTGTTTCTCTTCATCATTCACAACTTAATATTTTATCATTTTCAAAATTTGTATATTAATTCAGTTGAGTGGAATTATTTCACCTTCATTTACAATAGTTTCAAACATGTATCCTCAGCAAAAATGAATCCAATGGCTTTATAGGAAGATACATTGAATAAAAGGAATCCTTGCTCCAAATTAACATTACATCACTTGGAAGCATTTCTCTTAAAAACCCACTTTTGAGTGCTGTAACAGGGACTTCTTTATGCTCTACATTTCCACAGGCAACACTGCCATGTAGGCAAGTTTAAGTGAGCTCCATGCTGATGATACCTGCATCGGTAAGCCTCTTAACCAACTGTGCAACCGTGGATCTTTTCTGACCAATTGCAACATAAATACAGTAGAGTTTTTTCTTCTCATCAGTCCCATCATTAAATCGTTTCTGGTTGATGATTGTATCAATAGCAATTGAAGTTTTCCTGCAAAAAGAACAGAGGTGTAGTCAAAAATCCTTGAAGTTCAAACAGTTCATTTCAAACTGTGTTTTGCAGAAAACTCAAGAGATTAATCAGGGAAGAAATTTACATATGCCTTCTCCTAACTTCTACGGAATACAAGAACTTTAAGTTAGATGCATAACAATTGTGAATAAACAGCTCAATGCGGAAGCGTTCTCTGCAGGAGGACATCGGAACATGACCCTCTAACATTAGACCCAGGTGAATATGTCAATTTTGTTGTCTTCCACGTTTAAATATTTTAAATCTAATCAAGAAGAAACAGTGAAATTCTCAATTGTCTGTGCGGTTCAAACATACTGATGAAAGCTATGTCCTCTATGGGAAAAATCATGTTGAACCTATCTGCTATACATAGAAAAGTTAACAAGGGGCTTGTCAGAAAAAACAAACAGGTATCAATCCTAATTAAGGAACACAAACAAGGTTAACTACAGTGATTAAAAACCAATTAAAAGCCTATAAGCTCAAAGTATTGTTGTTAGACAGACCTTCCCCCCACATTCCCAACTGGCTGAATTTCTGAAGAAATTTTCAAACTCTGAACATTCCCAACAAAACACCGGCCAAGTGAAATTCTAATCCACCCCATGAATGTTACTCTTGCATGTATTATCCACCTTAACAAGAAAACAATGGCAGTCAGAAGCAAGTCATTTGAGTAAATGGCACCAGTTCCTTACCCAGTCTGCCTGTCACCAATGATCAATTCACGCTGGCCACGGCCAATGGGTACCAAGCTATCTACAGCCTTGATGCCGGTCTGCATGGGCTCACGCACAGAGATTCTAGGAATGATCCCAGGGGCTTTCAGGCCAACCCTCCTGCGCAACTTGGAAGTGATGGGGCCCTTTAAAGCAAGACAATGTTGTCACTCTTCTTTGTTTACTCACCACAATTAAAGCACACACAAAACAATAGGCATGATTTCTGCATCTACCTTTCCATCAATAGGATTGCCCAGCGCATCGACAACACGCCCCAGCAGCTCTTCACCCACTGGCACATCCACAATGGCACCAGTTCTCTTCACAATGTCCCCTTCCTTAATCAATCTGTCATTGCCGAATACGACAACACCAACATTGTCAGGCTCCAAGTTCAGGGACATACCCTTAAAAATACAGAAAAAGTATTCGTAAAAGTTATGGCAACAAACACTCCAGTCAAGCAACATTCAAGGTAAATTCTACCCAAACAAAGCGATGCAAACAAGGTTTGCTGTGAAAATCTAGTTCCCTTAATACCTTTTCTACGTTTTGATTAACAGTTCTTTGGAACATGCTGTCAGTTAGTTATGACAGTCTGGGACTGATAAAACAATGGTTCATTTCATTAGGACTGTGTCCAATATGAAAAATAAACTGTAGGCTTTCAATGAGCAAATATCATTCAGAAAAGCTGATTTTAAACATTTCCAATCCAGAGTTTACTCACAAACCTGACAGAAAGAGGTTTTCAAATCAACAAGGATGTTTGGTATCAGTATTTAACACAAACTGTTGTTGTTGTTTACTTGTTAAGTCATGTTTGACTCTTTGTGAGCCCATGGACCAGAGCATGCCAGGCCCTCCTGTCTTCCACTGCCTCCTGGAGTTGGGTCAAATTCATGTTGGTAACTTCGGTGACATTGTCCATCCATCTCGTCCTCTGTCGTCCCCTTCTCCTCTTGCCCACACACTTTCCCAACATCAGGGTCTTTTCCAGGGAGTCTTCTCATGAGATGGCCAAAGTATTGGAGCCTCAGCTTCAGGATCTGTCCTTCCAGTGAGCACCCAGGATTGATTTCCTCCAAGATGGATAGGTTTGTTCTTCTTGCAGTCCAGAGGACTCTCAAGAGGCTCCTCCAACATCACAATTCAAAAGCATCTCTTCTCCAGCGGTCAGCCTTCTTTATGGTCTAGCTCTCACTTCCATACATGACTACAGGAAAAACCATAGCTTTGACTGTGCAGACCTTTTGTCGGCAAGGTGATGTCTCTGCTTTTTAAGATGCTGTCGAGGTTTGTCATCGCTTTCCTCCCAAGAACCAGGCATCTTAGAATTTCATGGCTGCTGTCACCACCTGCAGTCCCCATGGAGTCCAAGTAACTAAAATCTCTCACTGCCTCCATATCTTCCCTTTCTACTTGCCAGTGGCCATGATCTTAGGTTTTTTCGGACTAGTGGCCATGATCTTAGGTTTTTTTCCCTTGATGTTGAGCTTGACCATTTTTTGCTCTCCTCTTTCACCCTCATTAAGAAGGTATTTAACTCCTCTTCACTTTCTGGCATCAGAGTGATATCATCTGCATATCTGAGGTTGTTGATATTTCTTCAGGCAATCTGGAGATTCCTCCAGTACAGCCTTTCGCACAACTTTCTGATGCTAGCAAGATGGCGCCGATGGCGGACGGCTAGCGCGTTCCTCCGCTGCCTCGGCTCGCCTCTTGGTCTTCTTTCTCTCTCTCTCTTTTTTCCCCCAACACTCTTTTCTCTCTCTTTCATTTTTATTTTTTATTATTTTTATTTATTTCCTCCTATTTCCCTCTCGCTTTCCCCCACACATACGCTGTTGACGAGAAGCAGGAGCCGCGTTCCTGACCGAGAGCTCGCAAGCGGGGGTCAGAGTTGGAGCAGGAGCAGGGAGAGAGCTCCTCTGGTTTCCCGCTGGGCTTGGAGGCTTGGGAAAGCGTCGGGCTGGTGTGGAGACGATTGTTGGAGGGGAGAAGACCTGC